GGACTCCCAGTCCCAAGATGGCAACTAGGTGGCGGAGACCTGTCAAGGGGCAGGGCTACCCTTGCGGCTCTTGACAGCTCGTCAAAAACCGCTAAGCAGCCCTCCACCCAAAGTAACTCCCCGCCCCTGCAGCAGTGTGTGTATAAGGTACACAAACAATTTCATGTCATCTGGGGAAGAAAGTTACTAAGAATGTGATTTTCCATCTTCTTTAAAAAAACTGAACACAGCTGCAACATCACTTCAACACTACCAAAAGACTGAAATGGCACTCACACAAAAGGGGTAGCCACAAAAATCCTTTAGCAAGTTTACATACCAGTTCCACAGATATCTGAATATAGTGCGAATGGACAGTGGAGTTTTGTGTGAGTAGGCGAAAGAACCATCTCCATTCCAATCCTACTTCTTAAACAGATTCCTCCATGGGATTGCCCAAGTTGCTCAATTCATAGACGCAGGGAGGCTTTTAGTCATGTTAGACTGAAATTACTTATACACAGAAGGCCTAGATGAATAAAGTCTCCACGGCATGCAAGGTATGACAAAGAAAGGCTAGCTTAAAGAGTCTGAAGCTGAGGGCCTCCAGAAGGGAGCTGCAGGCTCTATTCTAGATGCTACCAAGACAGACTCTAGGAAACCTCCATTCAAGACCCCCAAGTTCCAGAAGAAGCTTTGGTACTATCCTAATAGGAATGATCTTTTATTTAAGTGAAATGAAAATAAGAGCTTAGAACAGGGGAAAAGGGAAGTTATCTTTCCTGAATCTGCTTTAAAATCAAAACATAGAAGAGACCAGAATCAGCAAGGGTAACATCTCTGAGGAGGATGATTCTTCCCTCAGCCACAGGGAATAAATAAAGTATTTTTATTCAATACTTTAAGAGGGGAAAAAAAGTCATTACTTGAAACTGCAGTTTACCCTGCCAAATCTACCATTCTTTGTTCTCTTATGAGAGAAATAACATGGTCACTCTGGGGTTCCATCTCTTTTGTTTCTTATCCTTTTAACTCAAAACATACCTTAAGACTTTGGAAACTGCACACTTTTCATTAAGAATTATGTTTAACCAAGTTATCATGTGGTCTAAGCTTGCTACAAAAAATTGCAGTATTACGCAAAAAAGTCCTTGCATGCAAACATGGACCCACAAGTCGTCTTTCAAGATCTGTTCCAAAGAAGCCTGACAGAACCAACTGCCATCTCTGTGGCACCTACGCTTTGGTTAAAATAGAGGACCTCAGCCTCCAACACCGTGCCATGTGGAAAACTTACCATTTTCATATTTACAAACACAATTTAAACTATAAAGTTAGAAAAATTATTTCAACCGCTTATTGTCTTAATGGCAGTTGATCAGAATGCTCTTAGGATGCAGGGTGCATGAGAAGTTTGCAGCCACACCTTTCTGGGCCTGCCTGGTTCACAGATACAACATCAAAGAAGTAAACTGACAGCAAAATGTGTTTCTTTTGTAGCATTTCTATCAACAGTTAGCCTTCTGCTTTTTGTCTGGCTGAAGTTTAAAGATTTTTTTTTTTATTTCCTAGTATTTTTTGCAGTAAACAATTTGAAGCTTTTAAAATACACTTTTGAAACAGATGGAAATGTTACTTAGTTCCTTCATAATGGAAAAGCATGCACAACATGTGTAATGACTGCTTTCATGTGTTTACATTCATTCTAAGATAGTAACAAAGGCGTTTTTCAAGCTGAATTTAGAAGTAGTTATTACCTTTTTTTTTTTTTTTTTTTTTTT